AAGATAAACTTATACAAGGAAAAAAATGCATAAAGATGTAATCAAAACAAAGAAATGCAAAAAATAAAGAAATTAACATAAATCCTACAAATGAATGTCAAACTTGACTTCAAAACTCTTTTTGGAGTTTTCTTTTTGTTTTGGTTTTGGTTTTTCAAATTTCAAAAGTTTTTTTATTTTCATATATAAAAAAAACGACAAGACAACAAAACAAAATATATACACAAAGTATGACCCTAGGGTGTTTGATGAAAAGCATGCTAGATTACCTAGGTCCATACACTTACCTCTCCTACTTCTTTGGAGTCATGACCTTGCTAGAAGCACTCGAGGCCTCTAACTTGGTTGAGACGGTGAGTTTCTCAAAGTCCTCCTTAGAAACATAAACTTAGTTTCCCTTTCTAAAAATTGAGTTAAGTCAGGGAATAGGTAGAGGAATAGCTTTCTTCTCTCTAGACGTGTGCATCTCAATCTTCACCTTAGGAGTAGAAGAAGCCTTGTGCACTCTAGCTTGTGGTCCTTGTGAAGATGATGCATGATGTTGCTTAGAAAAATTTAGACTTGAGAATTCAAGGCTTCCTATTTTTCATGCAACTTTTACTATGATGATCATGTTCTTCACATGTACAACACGCATCATGATTGGTTTTGGTTTTATGAATGACCTTTTTATTTGAATGCCTACCATTACCATTCTTAACATTTTTAGTACTTGCACCTACTTGTAGGAGTGATGGGTTGGTGACACCCTTTACAAACACAATCTTGAAAGAAGTGTGGGTGTGTTCATTTGTGTAGCCTAAACCATGCTTATCACCTACACTCTTTTCCATAGACAACAAACTATCAATTTTTTCATTACTTTGGGGAAGCCTATTGGAGAGTTCATTTGATTTATGAAGATCTTTATCTAGTTTGGTACATTTTGACTCAAGATTCTTCTTAGACTTGACAAGCTCATGACACCCTCTCACAAGAAAACTCACTCAGTCAAGAAGAGACTTGTTCTCATCCTCTAGGCTACATATTTGAGCCTTAGACTTGACCAAGTCCACTTGAAGTGCTCTTCTCTCTTTTTCACTTGAGTTGACTAAAACACTTAAGGAGAGTACCTTCTCGTGTCACTTTGCATCCTCTACACACATGGGGATTTCTTATTCCAAATCTTCTACGTCCATGGTAGGACATGTTTCAACTCCACTTTGATTGACCATTAAAAATAGCATTGAAAGATCCATTGAAATGGTTAGTTACATACGTTTTGCATTTAAGTAGATAAAATTAAGGTCATTTACTGCATAATGCTTCCATAGGGATGAAAGTCATGATTTGTAGGATAATGTCAGATAATAGGACATGTAGGAGACAAAAGACAATAAGGGATCCGGCTATGAAGACTTAGAAGCCTAAAATTAGGACTTTTTGACATGCATTTGAATGGGGTCTATGGAATTCAAACGCACTAGCTACAAGAATTAGACAAGATCTACCATTCAGCAGCCAAATCCGTTTAAGTAGCTGGTCAACACATGAGGCATTCGAATGAGTTATGTGGCGTTTGAATGGGATCAAGGCTCAGCATCTCAGCAGAAAAAAGCCCAGAAGATTTAGTAGAGTATTCAAACAGGGTTATTAGCGTTTGGATGCCATGCCCAAACTGCAAGACTTTACCTTTTGACTTTGGCTCCTGATTTCAAGCTCTCTTTTCGTATAAATACCCCCATATATTCAGTTCAAAAAAAATAACTTTTGGAAGAGGAACAAACCCTCCAAATTAAATAATTTTCTCCTCCTTTCTTAGTATTATTTTCATTAGCTTTTCTGACACCCCTAAAACTGGAGGTCATTTGTCAACTCGTTAATCACCCATCAATCTGCAAAAGTACCCGTGAATGCTGTATAATCCGACAACACGTCATAACATCCCCTTCATCGAGATCAAAACCAACGCAGAGTTTCGACAAAGTTTCCCTTGTACCGAGCACTCCCAAACGCATAACCTACATACATTTCAATCACTTGACCATTCCAAGGTCCAATATACATCAATTTGTTCTTAATATTACTCCATTTACATCCTTTGAACAAAAGGGCTCAAGGTCCGAAGGCTTGGCAAAGTTATTTTAAATTTTTTTTTAAAAATTTTGGAGGAGCTACAGTAGCTGAGCCCTCTACTAGCAAGCTACCAGTAGCTGAGCCAACTACCCGCGAGCTCGCGAAACAAGACACTAATAGCTTCCCACAGCAATTATGCTACTACTAGCTAATCAACGTGCCACCGGTAACTGGGCTTAGTTTTTCACCAATTCAATCATTTTCAATTTCAACTCACCCAATCTCATACAACATTTACCCAAACTCATATAACATCTAATTTTACACAAAATATAGTCCATATAAGTTCATTATACAATCCTTTATAAAAAACCACAAGTCTAAAAAAATAATTACACGATTGATTTACAAAAATGCAACTTAAAAGCCACATTCCAAAAGATCTGTCCACTGGCACTTGTTCCACACCTAAAACATTATTCCCATAAAGGGTGAGTCATGCTCAATAGGGTATCTCCTAAAGAGGCTACCTCCCAATCCAGATGCATATGAAATGTTCACATGCAATTTAACAATTAAATAAGCATCCATCCATGGATATACAATTAATAATAGAATTCACAATGTCATGTTATGTTATGAGATAAGACTCACACATGCAATACAATCCAAGCCTTCACCAGCTCCCACAACACATACAATGCCATGTATGTAAATCTAGGCTTTTTAAGCCCTCGCCATTGATGCTATGCACCCTATGACAATTTACCAAATAAACCATGTCTCTTCTTAGGTAGGTGACTTCCTGGACTTGCACCAATGGTCCAACAAACCGACACAGATTTTGGTATCTCATCTTCGATTTTGCGTACACCATTATACTTTTTTGGACTTTCACTGCCGGAAGTGTAGAAACCAGTAGTCGGGTCTTGCATCCGAGGGAGAATCTAGCCCTTCTTGCTATACCCGACACAAGTTTTCCATGCGTCAGACCTTGGTCCAACTCTCCTAAGCCCACTTATCATCCACCAAGAATGGTGTTTGATCAAAACGATGCACACACCCACACCCATGTCATATGCCCACGAATGTGATGCTTCTCATGCATATGCAATGTAATGAACTATTGCATTTCATATCATTATGCAACCAAGTTTTCGATTGCAATTACAACATCATGTTCAACATATCATAATAACAACATGAACATTTTCAAATCTTCAATGTAACTTATATCATAAAGCATATAATTACATTCTAACATCATCACAAAGCATGTTATATCAATTTCATTCAAATAACATACTTAATCAATCATAGGCATTTTATCAAACACCCAAGAGGCACAAAATCATGTAAACATATAATCATGCCCAATTTATCATATTCTCATGAAATCACCCAATGAGCAATTCTCAACAAACCTAATTCATGCAAAATTGGTTTTATTCATTCTCATATCATTTCTCATACTCTAGTTACACTAGAAATATATTTAGACAAGATATTTCATTTCAAATCATGCCACCCATTTCCTACGAAACCCTAGCTTGAAAAAAAACCTAGTTAGGAGAAAAATCTTTTTTGGTTCAACTTATATATTCAGATGAGATTCCTAGTTGTCTTGTTTTTCATCGATTTATTTTTTGGTTCAACCTACATGTTCACATGGGTTGACACATATTCTATTGAATTCGTAAAGAACTACAGTTGTTAATTTGAAATGAATGACCAATTTTTAATAGTTTTTTATTTTGATTTTTTTTAACCTATTTTTGAAGGAATTTGTTTTCTAATTTTTTAAAATTTATAGGGGTTAAATTTTTTTACACAACTTTTAAAGGCAATCGCAATCATAAAAAAAATTATTATTAATTATTTTTAGTCATTTTGAATATTTTGGTTAAAATTGATTCTATTCCAATGAAAAAATTATTTTATCCAAACATAAGAATGGAATGAACATTCCATTCCAGCATTTAATCCTAAACAGTTGTCAAATATTGAAATGGTAATGCGCATTCCATTCCATTCCTAAGTTCATTTCATTCCTACTGAAAAGCATTACCGCGTACCAAACGCAGTGTCATGGGAATCCTTTTTACACAACCCGACATAAGGGAAATGTAAAATTTTTCATCTAATAAAAAATTATGAAAATTATACATTATTCATGTAGTATAATTATGAAAATTATGAAAACTATAAACGATCCATCTACATCCATAGAAAATATGAAAATTATATCATGAATTTTTTTATTGTTTTATTACCGTATCTACCTTGTTAAAATTTTCATATTCATACAGCATAATAATGATGATATGAATAAAAATTTAGTAAATTTGAGATAACATTTAAATTAATTACATATAACACAAAAAAAAAATTGTTTTCTATAATTCTCTCACGTGCAACGTATAATACACTCTTAATGTATGAAATGTTATATTTGTGAATTAACGAGGAATGATATCCTAATTAACGGAAAGTAAAGAAAACCATTGTGAGAATAAGTAAAAGTTTCAGTTGAGCTGCTCTGACAATGGCGAGAGAAAGGGCATTTCCGGAACTTCACCCAAGGCCTCAATGACGAAGCGTAGTTGCGTCTACTGTAGGTACCAACAATCCACAGATTGCTTCTAATAACTGTATGCATTTATCTACAAATACAAACCGAATCAAGAGCATTTCAACAGATATATCGTAGCTGTAAATTGTTCCCCTTTTTTGGTCTTCTGCCTCGCGGGTACTGACTACTCTCTCTCCCTCCCTCCCTTCTCTCTCTAAAAGTCAAATCCAATCCAAACTCAACTTTTTAGCTCTTTCTGTCATTTGGTGTTGTTTCTTACATCTTCAGACGAATATTTCTCTATGTTTCGTTAATTTTCTGTTGGACGGTGAATTTTCTCTCTCTAGATTCGTTTTTTGTGTATCTCTCTGAAATGAAATTGAATGATTATAGCCTGGTAAGTTATCTACGCTGCGGTTGTTGTTTTGCTTGTAATTCTTGTTGTTTGATAGGTTTTTAGTGAATCTGTAATCATGACATTGAAATCCAGGTGAATTGGTGAAGGAGAGCACTGTAACGTACTGAATCTTATATCTAGGGTTTTTGTTCTGGTCTGTTATTTATAATAGTAGTTGGGTCAAAGCAGATCATACTGAATTAAAAATCGTTTTAATTCCTGCTTTATTTGTTGTTTTCCTTCCAATTCTTATTCGTTACACGGACTTTTGTTGATCATTTATTCATTTAAATACCGAGTAAGTATCGACAAATCTCATGGTCTAGGGTTTCTGTTCTTTTTTATCTTATGGCCATACCCAGATTGATATTTAGAACCATTTGGTAATTTTTATTTGAAATTCTTGGACTTATCGTAATTATTAAGTTACCTTAAATGCGCAGAGCAAAAACTAGAAATAGACAAATTCTAGACTGTTGTTATTTATTTCCTTTGAATATTATTGATGTTTGATCAATTGCAGTATATGGATTCTTACATGACTCAATTTTATTAAATGTTGGTTCTGGGATTTTTTGGGTGTAATGAACAGATGGCGAGTGGAGGCAAGGTTGGGTACAAGCAGAATACGGGGAGAAAGGTTAGATCAAAACTCAAGGGTTCAGATGAATCAGACGAGGACTATAAGGTGGATGAAGATGAAGACTTTGAAGAGTCAGATGAATACTGTTCTTCCTTTGATGGAGGTGAATCGGAAGAGGAATTTGAGGCCAAGGAGATGGAGGAGGAGCAAGAGGATGAAAAGAAAGTGAAGAAGTTAGGACAACCAGAAGGTCAAAAGGGTGCTTCGGGTAGGAAGATAAAAGAGATGAAGAAGCCACTGAAGGAAAGGAAGGTTTCATACAAGGAAGAAGATTATGAGGATGATTGTGATGATGATGATGATGACAATGATGAAGAATTTACACTGGATGAGATTGATCGAGAAGATGAAGATGAAGTGCCTGCAACAAAGATGAATAAGAAGGTGGGCAGGCCTCGATTGGGGGAAAAGGGTTTTGTTAAAATGAGGAATCGGAAGAGGAATTTTAAGGTTCTGAAGAAAGATATGAAAAAGAAACCAAGACTGAATCTTAGGTTGAGGGGGAAAGGGAGTTCTACTGATGAGGAATTTATAGACAATAACCCGGTTGTGGAAGAGAAGTGTGAGGAGATTTCTGGTCATCGGAGAAGGGTATTGGTGGCTAATTCTGATTCAGATTTGGTGAGTTCTGAATCATCGGATTCTGATTACACTATCTCTGAGGAAGAGAGAGAACATATAAGAGAGGCCAGTAAATTCTCCAGCAGTTTGGCAACTAATTTAAGGGGTTCGACTTTTTCGAAGAGATCAGAAGAAGAATCTTTTTGTCAGCAAAAAAAACGAATAGGGAGAAAGGGTAAGGAGAAAGTAGATGATGATAGTGACGATGATGAAGAATTTACGCTGGATGAGAATGAGATTGATTGTGATGATGAAGATGAAGATGAAGTCCCTGTGACAAAGAAGAATAAGTTGGGCAGGTCTCGTTTGGGGGGAAAGGGTTTTGTTAAAGGGAGGAAGCGGAAGAGGAATTTTAATGTTCTGAAGAAGGCTGTGAAAAAGAAACCAAGAAATAATCTTCGGTTGAGGAGGAAAGCATGTTCTAATGAAGAGGAGTTTATAGACCACAACCCGGTTGTGGAAGACAAGCCTGAGAAGATTTCTGGTCGTCGGAGAAGGGGAGTGGTGGCTGATTCTGATTCAGATTTTGTGTGCTCTGAATCTTTTGATTATGATTACACTATCTCTGAGGAAGAGAGAGAACAGATAAGAGAGGCCAGTGAATTTTGCAGCAGTTTGACCACCAGTTTGAGGAATTCAACTTTGTCAAAGAAACTGGAAGAAGAAGAATCTTCTTTTCAGTTAATAAAATGTCCTGGGAGAAAGGGTAAGGAGAAAGTAGATGATTCAAAGAATGAAGTAGGAAAACAAGTTTGTGGAATCTGTTTGTCGGACGAGGGAAAGAAAATAGTGCGAGGAGTATTGAATTGTTGCGGTCATTATTTCTGTTTTGCTTGCATCATGGAATGGTCGAAGGTGGAATCTCGTTGCCCTCTGTGCAAGCAGAGGTTCGTGACAATTAGTAAGCCCGCAAAATCAAACACAGGGCTTGATATGAGGACAGTGGTGATACAGGTCCCTGAGCGTGATCAGGTATATTGCAATCGTTTTTTAAAATTTTTTGGGTGCAGATGGACCCATTGTGTTTTTTATTTAATTGGATTCTTTTTGTTGAATTTTTTTTCCATTTTTCTATTTGTTCTTGATTGGAAATGTTTTGTGCCATGTACAGATTTATCAACCATCTCAAGAAGAGCTTAGGGGCTATCTTGATCCATATGAAAATGTTATCTGTACTGAATGCCAGCAAGGTGGGAATGATGCTCTCATGTTACTTTGTGATCTCTGCGATTCACCTGCACATACCTATTGTGTTGGTCTTGGACGTGAAGTACCGGAAGGTAATTGGTATTGTGATGCCTGTAGACCGACTGCTCTTGGTTCCACCTCAAATCCACTAGGTCTATATCCTATGCCAGATCAAAAAACAAGTACCAACTATTCTGGTAGATCATCTCCTGCGGACAATGTTAGGGTAGCGTTAGATCTCAATGAGATGTATGTGCCTGATATACCATTGACTCAAGAAACTGGGTCTTCTCCATCTCCTAGACTTTCTGTTGGAGATTTTCAAGCTGCTTCTTCAGCATCTGGATCAGGGGCATTTACTGTGTCAGAAAGGCGCAGGATACAGCGCCTTATACAGAATCTTCTTCACAACAGAATGAGGCAACTTGATGGCCAAAGCAATGGGATATCAGCCACAAATTTGGGAAGTAGTCTTTTTGGCACTCAAATTGGTCAGGTTAGGGAATTTGTTCCTCAACAAACAGTAACACCGGAAAGGCTAGCATCGCGTTATAACTTTTCTGAGGAAAGTTTTCAGGATAATTCCACATCTTTAGTGCACAATAGGGAAGCTTTTCCTGCAAGATCAATCCATTCAAGGGAGCAAGCAATTCAGAATTCAGCTTATACATCTGTTGCTGGAGTTTTACCTGCTGAACTTGCTGGCATCCATGCCAGTGTCAATTCAAGATTGGGTTATCAGCAATCCCATCCATGCAGCAGTAGATCAACCATTGGGACTGATGCTACCATGTCTCCTTGTGCATTCAGAGAGGTGAGCCACTTTAAGCTAGAAAAGGAACAAGTGCAATCAATGGTTAGAAGGCATTTAAAAAGCTTCTTCAGAGATTTGGAGTTAGGTATGTCTAAGTGTGCAGTTTTTACTCTTCAACTGCATGTAGCAGTATGACTATAAGACAGAGTTGTAGGATGAAATGATTATGACTTTAGTCATAGGCAATAGGTTGGTCTTTATTCTGGAAGATCAAATCATAGTGTTCAATTAGTTAATCAACTCACTGACCTGTCTAGGACACTCCAAACACTACTATAATTATTAGACAGTATTCTGTTGCTTTTTAGAAGGGAGAATGTTCCTGTATGCCTTCGCTTGCTTATTTTGTCTGTCTTTTTTTTTTCTATTTTTCAATTTTTTTTTTTTTTTTTGGTTTGGCTTTGAAGTGCCTTCTTTGCTTTGCGAAGAGTGAAGGATTATGAGTTCTCATGCACAAGGCAGCGATGAAGTGCGCCTACGATTTTCATTTGTGTGCTGAAATTACCTGTTATCAAGAATGATGAAATTAGTCGATTTCTATTGATGCAGACTACAAAGTCTTTAAGGACATCGCAAGGAGCTCCACACACACCATTTTAGCTGCATGTGGGATTGAGCATCGGACGAGCGAGGTCTGCCCTGTGCAGTCACCATCAACTTGTAACCACATTGAAATAATGGGAGGTGTGCAGATGGGTCTGATGAAAGGATACTGCTCATCTTGTTTCGATCAATTTGTGAGGAACGTAGTGAAAGCGATCACGAGCATTAAGAACCCGTCAACAAATAGAGGTTAGGGATTGATGCGTCGGAATGATTGATCATTTTTTCAGTTTAGTAACACTATGTCGCATACTTGATTTTTGATAGGAATTGAGACAGAATATTTGGTCAAATTGTTTACATGGACAAGCCATTTCTCAGCATTGATCTATTTCTAAGTCGTTTATATTTATGTCGCTGAGATTGAATACTGGTGGCTGTTTGGCACCTCTTTAGAAACACACAAGGATGAGAAACATAGCCTATCTTGCACAAGCATATCTGGATAGGCTCTTATGAGCTCGCAATAGCAATTATCATGTTGTGAGCTCTACCCATCGCGTGATCACATTACGTTTGTCTTGGTGGGATGAAAATATGCAATGATTAGTGTGATGGAAGATTGGCTTATACCCTGAAAACGGCATAGTGCCGAGCTTTACTTTTCTGCGTGTTCTGATTTGTGAAGTTGGACCCAATGTTTAGGTGATCTTCACAGATTACGGAGCCCATTTTCTGTTTGTAGTGTCGCACCATCTTTTTTTGGATGCTGACTGGAGTAGAATTAAGAAACCGTAATAATTTTATTTTGGGCAAACCGTACTTACCGATTTGTTATTGGACTTTTTGCATATCACCCTTTTGCCTTAAAAGATTATCACAAGGCTCTCATACACTACACTCCATTTTGTTTTTTTGTTTTTTTTTTTTGAAGACACTACACTTATCATTCAATTTAAGAGATTTTGTAGCCTCGTGCCTGAAGTGGGTTGAGAAGTTTATTTCAAAAGATGAAAACGCCCTCGCTCTAATTTTCTGTTTCTCTCCCTTCGTTTTCTCTACCTGTCATCAACCAACATCGTCAGCAACGTCCATAGTCAGTAGCCGGTTCATCCGCAGCGTATTGGTGAGGAACATAGACTATAATGTTTTTAGAGAGAGTGTGTTGGTCGTCGGGTTGCTTCAGTTCGTCAATGGTTGATCTCACTCTGCAACAATATGGTTCTTCCAAAGCAATTAGTTATTCCACTTTTCATCTGCTTCTTTCCTTGATGTCCAATAAACAACTCACTCAATACATTGTTTTGATTTCGATATTTTCTAATTGTACCACTAGGTGGTTTCGGACTCAAAGCCCAGATTTTGATAATGATCTCTGCTAACTTGTATTCCGGATTTGTGCGAATAAATGAAGACGTTTTGCAAATAGAGCTCCATCTGAAAATAAGGGTTTACACCCACCAATGTTTAATGATTCTGAGAATTAACCTTTACATTTGCTGTTTGGAGTCTTAGAGCTCCTCTATTTATATTATTTAAAATAACATTTTATTTGACTCTCTACTTTTAAAAAGTCCAACTCAAACACTCTTCTATTTTTAATGAATGAAATAAATGACGCACATTCGTTCTTCATTAAATATCATTTATTAAAGGGCCATTTATCTACTAAAATAAAGAATCCGTTAGAATTGCCTAAAATATTTCTCTTTACTATAAAACTATGATTTTAATTTAAGAGATATATGTCCACCACACAATACACCAAATGCATTTTTTCTATTTAGTCTATCCTGCATTAATCAGTTGTCATTCAGCTCAGATTCCAAATATGATGGGTCTGTTCCTAGGCCACCCGGTGGGCATTCTCACCGCTACATAAACTGAAGAAACGTCAAATATAGGCCACCTTGCCCTTCACTAGGAACGACTGACTAGAAAAGTGAACATTATTATATCCCACATAAATATTTGAATGTCATCATAAACTTGGTAGCATGCATAAAGCGTAGTGTTCAATGCAGGAATGAGAGACAGAAAGAGGCACAGGTAAATTTATTATCTTCTTTCCCCCAAACATGAAGTAAAGTGAAAAAGGGATACACCAGTCTCATTCTGCCTAAATACTACATTCTACATCCAACATACATCAAATTTATTACTACATCTTATTTCACTCTGGTTTAATTCATTGCCATACTCGCTACAGAAAAGCCACTGATGACCATTTTTTGCTGGAAATTTGAAGTCACATTGCCACAGCAACCTTCATAAGTTATCATCAAGAATGGTGGACAACAACATCCCCTGAACAAACTCACTTCTCCTTGCCTTCTCCTCTTGATCCTCGATCGATAAGGGAGGTTGCACTTTTCTGTCACTGGAAAACATAATAGATTGAGGAAAGCTAAAACAAAATCAATGATGATTCAGTACACGATCCAGATAAAATTTCCAAAAACAACAATCATTGGCCCATACCTACATATGTGCAGACATTGTATTAATATTTGTGTGTGTGTGATAGCATTGAGGGCTGAACTACACTTTTATCCTTTTCGACTAGACAAAAGAAAAAAATAGCACAGAAATTAGGGGTCAAAAAACAGTATTATCTGTTGGGCATTGTTTGCATGAGCAGATATGTAAATCAACACCAGGTGAAATTTTGAATAACAAAAATCCTTTACACAATTCTTTTAACTAAAAATAGACCTTATATATTGTCTTCGCAACAAACACACCTTGGGAGTTTAAACAGAACTTGGCAGGCAAGAGTGACAGAGTAATTTAGATGTATTCTGATCATAAACCAATGTGCATTCTTATTTCATGCAAATCCAATAAATTTAAACTGCCGTCAGCCAGTCAATTAAATCTGGCGCATAGACCTTTGACTAGAGAGAAACAGCAAAATTAAGTTAAAGGATGAAAATGCGAATTAAGGACACACAAAAATGGAAAGGGATAAGAAATTTTTCAATGGAGCCAAAACAAACGAAGAACATGCGAAAACAATTCTCCATGGGACCATATAAACACAAATGAAATCCTTCTCAAAGGATATAAAAGTGCCCTTAGAATGGTTCTTGTCCTACCACAATCCAATCCTCATGATCTAATTGAAAGACATCTTTTAGATTTTTCAATAGTCCAACAGCATTGACCAGTTCTTAATTTTTGCCACATGTGCCAGCACCTATTTTCCTCTGCAACAATATAATTAGTGTCATTGCATCCAATAGCTTCTCCCTACATCTTTAAACTATGTACCTTCAGATTCATCTACCAACTCTAGCAACATATTCGTTTCCAACAGAAGAAGAGTGCAGTTACCCCGCCAGATGCTTATGTAAAATAAAATGTGAAGGAAGGAAAAGTAATGGAAATCTTAGTCAAGGCTAGAGAAGACGTCCAATAGTGGGCCTAGCCCTATACTAGAATATACAGCCAAGTTTTACAAATCAGGATCTAGTGAAAGAAACAAACTCGCCTGTGCTTCTTACCAGCTCATGTGTGGGCACAGTAATGCTGCAAACAAACGCCATCCAGAAACTGAGACTAATAAGTTAGAAATTGAAGCCATATTAGACATCCTCTATTAGAAAGTCGATATGTCAGAGTAGAACTACCATATCCCAGTAAGTAACTGTCTGTTCTATTGTTGTATCAAGAGATTAAAGACCTACAAAATTAATTTGTTGTTGCTTTCAAACTTTGGCCCCCTCTGCCACCCAAATAAGAAGAAAAAAAACCAACTTGAATTGTGAATATTAAAGTCAGTCAACAATAGATCATGAATTATTAGTTTTTCTCTTTGAATTCTCAGGTCCTCCGAGTGCACCATAATCCCCCAAATTGTCTTCCAACGGTAGATATCAAGTTCAAGCAAATAGCAGTAGACGACAACATTTTGTTCAAAAATTATATGATTGAATAATTTAATCAAGGTTCAACTTTTCATGTCAGCATCTAAAGGTCAACCAAAAGCTTTTATTCACCAATAAATTTTATGAGCAATATCTTCTGCCAAACCATGACCCCAATCAGATAACTGTCTCCCATGTTAATTGTGCTCTCTTCAACTAGGGGTATAAAACCAACCACATTGTTCACATGCAGCTGTAGTTCAGCTGTTCTTCTCCTTTATTTTTCCCACACCCATTTTGTGATCCAGGAGCTCAGCATGTTCAAGCTCGTGTATGATATACAAGTCAAGTTTGAGTTTGGCCTCAAACCATTGCTTTAGGCAAGATTGTCAAAACATGTATCAAAAGACACCTCATTTTTCAAAAATAATGTATTGCATACCGTAGTGTACCGTATATTGTAAGATACACTCGATTGAAATTCATATATATACACACATATACCTAAGAAAACATAAATATGTAATGTCCAAAGTAATATAAATATCATTTCAACTCACTTAAATTTTTGTGCGATGCGTGATTCTGAAAAGTATTGAAGGACAATGGTTCGTCCTTACGGCAATCAAAATATAGCTAGGGTTTTGTCTGTTTGAAAGAGAAGAAGAAGACTAATAGGCAGGAGAAACAAAAGAGGATCATAAGAGAATAAGATGATCGAGAGCTTCGTTTGTTGGAGAATTGAGATTAAACCAGAAAAGTAAAAAATAACATATAAGAAACATCATTTTACTATTGGGTGTAGAAAAAAGTCTTGTGAAACAACGTGTGGGTTCACTATATAGAGTTAATTTTTTTTTTTAAAATGATCTTGAACATATCATTTTTTCATTGTATCGAAATGTATCGTAAGATACGTATCATGCATTGTAAGATGTGATGAAAAAACAATGACTCATAGATATGTATCGTTCAAGTACTATATCGAGATGTATAGTAAGATACAACTATGTTTCAGAATATTTAAAAAATGAGAATATATCAAGAAGACGTATCTCCCCCCCCCTTTTTTTTTCTTCCCATAATAAACCCAAGTGAAATAAAATGCTAAAAGAACGAGGATAGAACAGTGTCCATCTTTAGGCACTAAAGCACCCCACTACATGTAATTCGGTATAATGTGTACAGTTCTGAACTTTATACGTTGCTCATGGTTCTCCATGTCAGTATATTCAATGTTTAGCTCTCATCTTCTATCCACAATGACCCTTCCCCGTTTCCCATTTGCTCTTTCATTTCCCTAAAGCACTTAATCTTAAAGAAAGGGACATTGCTACATATTAGTCATTGGTCGGAAAGGTAAAAGTCCTTGTTCAGTCTAGCATATAAGTTGAGTAAAGTCGTATTAAGCATAATTAAACACAATAAGTCAACCTTGAACAGGTTTGCTCAAACTTGCTCCTAACCAAGCTGAAAAGCTTTCATTGAGTGTTACAAAAAAAACAAGCTTAAAAGATGATACTCAATTGGACTAGACTCATTTCACAT